TATTTTTTATTTTAAAAGTTTCATTACTGGATTCAACTTTTGAGTTGAGTGACGTCGTTTCCCTTCTGAGTAACCGCCCACACGGGACGCCCTGAAGTAAAGCGAACGCGCCCTCGACGAGGCAGGGATCATATATCGTCCATTTCATCGGTCGACCAGTGGTCAACACGACGCCTGGTATTCTGTTGGTTGGGGACTTTTGACAGGGTTCTAACACAAACAATTCCAAGCGCACAGGAGAAATCCAAGAGCAGACGATTCACGAGCGCACAGAACGCAGCCAAGTGCAAACAGGAGCTATCTGAGTGCAAGGGCAAGGTTTTGATGAAAAGCGAAGCACATTCCGAACTTAAATTCAACGAGTCATGCGCTTGAACTCAAAGACAACGCTCTTGATAAAAGATAGGGGGGGAAAAAACTCCATATATAGGCGATTAAAATAAAAACCGGCGGGGGCTCCGGGTCGTGATTGAAATTCATGACGGGCGTCTATCTGTATAATGCAGCGTAATGTAGGTCACACCTTGTTTCAGGTTGTCTTTTGATGGATCTGGAGGGGCTTCAGTTGAAAACAAAGTGCCCCCCCCCGTCCACAGAGGAGCACGTACAAGCCCATCTTCTTCAAGTCACTGACAGATGGTTGAGTGGGGGGTCTGCTCTCAGAACGGCGTTTTAATCTTTTTTTTTTCTTCTTATCTATCAGTCCTGCATCTGCAAGCATGTCATGCATCTCTTTTGAATTTGACTACAAACAGTGTGCGGGCTCCATCACAGACTGTCCCTCTCCCTCTGTCTTGTTTTCTATCAGTGTGGCTGTGGATCTCAATGATGCCACAGTTTGTTCACTTTTCCATTATTGCCCTTTTTGTGGGTTTTTTTCATGTATTTATATCGTCACAATAACACAGACGAGTCCCCTATGAAGTTCAAAGTGACTCAGTGGAATTCTGATCATATCACATCACATCTCTGGTTTCCTTCCTCTCTAATTAGACTTGTGATGGAAAATATTATGAACAGAATATAATACAGTAATGGACTGGGGTGCCAACAGTGATTAATTATAAAAGATTAATTTCGTCTTGGATGTGGGAAGTTATTAGAAGTGTTGGGTCAAAAACTTTTAAAACTTCACAGATATAAAAACACAAAAAGAGCAAAGTAAAAAGTTTATCATATTTTCATATGCTAAAGGTCTGCTTCTTCATCTAGAACAAGACTGATAAAGTCCATAAATGAACGCAGGGTTTGAAGTAAATGAGAATCTAATTTATTTTCAGGTCGTCCTGCTCTCTCCATAGTTGTGCTGTCACCTGCAACTTATCATGCAGCAGCAGGATCCATTATCAGAGCAGTTTTCATTACAGCTTTCATCAGAGCAACTTTGTCACGGAGACAAATCTTAAATTAAGAGACATTAATGACAACGCTAGTCAATAAAAAAAATCATTATTAGATGCATAGAGCTGTCACATAATGATTTTACAAGAAGTAATCATCAACGTCTGGGTTGCGAACCTTTTTCCTGCTGAGGGCCATTTCCATTTCGTCCTACGTCCTTTTAGTATTAATTGCTGAACCCGTATATCAACCTCTGATTAAACCACGGCTGGGACGGCTTGATAGTGATGATGATGATGATGATGATGATACTTCCTCCAAGCAAAGCAACACGGTTAAAGAAATATGTGCAGAAAACCCATTTAAAGTAGACGACAATGACCCGGAAGTATCAACAAGAGAAAAGAAGAACTGTGAAAGCCTCGTGTGTCAGAATGAAGCTGTCACTGTCAATTCGTCTTGTTTCCTTCTCTGTTTACTGTGTAAATGTCGATTTCTCATGGTAAAGGAAATTCTTTCTCAGCGTAGCAACAGAAAATGGAAGAACTTCATTTCCAAACATTGTTTAATGACAGATATAAATGGTTCATCTGTGAAGACAGTGACGTTTGTGACGTGGAGATTGAACGTGGTGTGTTCGAACCGTCTCCAAACAGATAACAGATCTGTTTCTGAAAATTACGCCTCTGCCCTTTAAAGTTTCACTGTTCAATTAACTGGAGAGCATTTCCAATCTCTCTGTCACTTTACCCGGTGTTTGAATCTCGTGTGTGTGTGTGTGTGTGTGTGTCTTGTCTCTGAACGCACTCGCATTCGCGAAACGCTTATCAATTAATGCCAGGAGCGAGTCTTTTTTCATCACGGCAGCAACGGCACTTTGCAGAATGTGTGACAGACCTTCTTTGAAGTGCCGCTGCAGCGCTGAACGGTAAAACGCTCAACACAAATCTAAATGACGGGGGGGGGGGGAGGAGCAAGTTTTCTCTGGCCCCGGCCGTCTCACTGATGAAACTTTGATCGCAAACCGCCGCATGCTGTGACATATTACTGGCACGTTCCCACAGTGCGTCCTGTACATGAACAGATTCACACGTGACCCCGGTCTACATGTATGTGTTTGAGGGGGTTGGAAATCACATTGAAGTAAATGGAGGGTTTTCAAAAGGAAGCTCAGTGTTTCAAGTGAGCTGCGTACAAAGATGGAGGATCTTCCTCCCACCGACGGCGAGTGATGACAAGACATCCCAGATACAAACTCTTTTTTTCTCGGTGGAAGGGCGTCCTAACCCCTAACATGGAGGAGGGGGTGTTCATGTTCTATATCGACGTGCTTTGGCTTCACTTGCGGGGGGGGGGGGGTCAGTCCATGATTTTAAGTATTTGTAATCGATATTAGAATTGAAATTAATGTCACTAACACGCCTCAATAAAAATTCTGAATGTCAACCTGATGGTGGCGCTTGATTAGAAAGTCAGAGGATTACTAAAGTCAATAAGATTCATTCTTTGTGTGGGTTGTTTCTGCCAACCCATCAGAGGATGAGCTTTCACACTGAACTCGCTTGAAATGTCGTTCGTTGGTCCGGCGACCGAGTCGAGGGATCGTAGAAGTCATTATCATTCTTCCCCTCGACTTCGCAGTTTGTGCACAGCTGGCAGGTTGATCGTGTGGCGGATTATCGGGGGGTAAATTCTCCCATAGCCTCACTGACAAGAGGTTTGTCCTCTTGCAGGCCACACAAGCGAGTGTGATTACTTGAGCCATGGTCTGATGGTGCAATTATTCTTATCCCTCCAGCGTTAAATGCCAGGGCTGATCAGCATGCCCGTCTGTCCGTGCATCTGTGAGTCTGAAGTGGGGCCTTTTGATTTTCAATATTTCTTTCTGTAGTTACGAGGCAAAAAGTTTGAGAGGAGGTGGATTTTGGATTCGATTAAGGGGCATATCCCAGAACATCGAGAGAAAGGTCGTTTCACAAAATCTTCTGGGAATAATGCACCAGATGAGAAATTGTAAATGGCTTGAAGAAAAAGCATGAAAAGAAAAATATATGTCGTATGAAGTCTGGTACGGACCCTGGATTTTTTTTTTAACTCTCTTGAACGTTGTCTTTTTTCCCAATTTTCATTGATTACGCAGAGAATATTTAATGTATCTTGATAATAAACATCAGTTTAGGGGACTAATATTTATGAGTGTGCAGTTTGTGCAGATCCAAATAAAGATTGAGGGAATTTCTTATGCAGACTGTTTTCAAAATTATTCTGGTTCAGTTACAATTTTCCATAATATATGCCAGAATCGCAGAGGCTATGAATTTCTGAACTGGTCGGCACACACAGATAAAGCAACAGAACAGTGACGGACGGATTAATTTCTGACTGAAGTTGCAATTTACCAGAGAAGGGAAGAGAACTTGTGAGGGTCCTCTCTGGACTTGGATGTGTGGTGAGTGAGTCTGAGAGCAGAGCAGGATAAAGAGATTATACAGGCGTTCGCTCTGACTACCTGAAACTCTGCATCAAAGCCTCACAAGACTTGATGTGGAAGCTAAGTTGTGTGTTTACCATCCCCGCAGTCGCACACCTCAAATTTGGAATCATTCTCTGCAGCATGTTGTTCTCACAAACACTTCAAACATGGTTCAAGTGGAGGTGAGGATTTGCTGCCTCTCCCTGTTTTCTGTTATTGCAAACTAAGATTTGGACTCTCGTTCTGACAAAACAAGACTTTTTAACCAGAGTGTGAAAGACTCTAAATCCAGTTAATCTGTTTGGGGCCGTGTGGTTTACGAACCTGCAACAACATTACGGGATTCTGTGGTTGTCCACCGCGAGAAAGTCACTGTTTCAAACCGTGTTCTGACGTTTTCTGAACCAAAGTATTAACAGATAACAACGGAGAAAAGAATCAGCAGAATTTTTTATAGTGTAATTAGAATGGTACTTAGTAGAGTGCAGACCTACGCCAAGGTTCAACCGATGATTTAAATATGGCTGCACCAGTTTGTACATGCGAATAGATACACGTCCTCTAAATGTGCCGCCGTTCGTTCGGTGAAGACCCGACACTGACTTGGCAGCGGTCAACACGACTCACACCTGTGATAAACACCATGATTATCATCTTCTATCACCTGAAGGGTGGGACGGCAGCAGATTGATGAGTCTGTGTTTCCAAAGTCACACACACAGCAGGCGAGTCCAGGTCAAACGCCAACAGTAATTTTAACCAGGGTACAAACTTATCTTGCCAACATGTGAGAGGGAGAGAGGAGAGAGCAAGTAACTGAGGATGGATGTGGCCAGCCTTTCATTTTATATGCCACTGCAGAGCTGTTGGTCTAGAAGGCACAGTGGCCACTTTCATCAGCTGCACGCACATCTTTTGACATTTACACCTGCTCTGTAATGTTCCCAAGGGAACCAAAGGGGTTAGAGGTGCAGAGCTGAAGAGCTGAGGCTGTGCGGGCAGATCTGCTCCGTTTTTTCACTTTCATAAAGTTTTTCTGTCCTCTGTTAGATTAAGAGGTGAAATAAAACCGTTCACAACTGCATCTGTGCGAGCACGCTGCATGAAATGTAATAAAGATGTTTGGTTTTGAAGGACACAACGATCACTCGTAATCTCTGTCTTTTGTCTTTTTTCTCTTTTACAGGAGACAATAATGGATGGCCCCATCTTTTTGACAAATATTTTGGAATGCCAAGCTATAACACAGGGACCAAGTCCAACATTTGCCGTAAGTGTTTCTGAACTGCACTTTTACATTTTTTTTCTGAGACCACAGCCTAGTCGATCATGAGACAAACCAGCAGACATGAGCAGCAGCTACTGAATAAGAAGACAGAGGAGATACAGCAGGTATATTGTGAAGATATCTGCAGTTATATTTTGAGACAACAACACTGTGTTATGCTGTGCTATGTCACCATTGTCAATTATTGTCGCTGCTCTTTATTTATAATAATTTAAATGTAAATAAGAAAAAGAACTAACAAGAACCATGAGTCCTCTGAATCAGCCAGAAAAAGATCTCGATGTGATTCTCCCGCTCGCTCTTTGCTGCAACATTGACACAAGCCCTCAAGAAATGTTTTTTCTCGCTCTCACATACTCGGCATGGAAACATTGGACTTTTCAGACGGAGCCCTGGATGCGTGGGCCGACTACGTGAAACCTCAGCGAGCCGCCAGCTACACTCAAACTAATTGGTGTCAAGTTGGTGGTGACCTGGGTTTGCTTCAGCCGAGGAAGACATATAAGTAATATTGTCATGGCATCACGACTCTCACTCTGTTTATAAAGCATCAAATAACAAATTAAAACCAAACATGTCAGAATCCAGAGAAAAAACATTTTTTTCCCGTGGTTTCTTTGACTTTTTTGTTTGGTCCTTGTCTCATCCATTAACATGGAGGAGGCCCGATGTATGACGTGTACTGCTGCCAGTCATTCGATGGTGTCCATCTATTCACACAGTCTGTGAGTTAACCTCAAGTTCACCTGAGATCCGTCAGGATATAAACATTCAAGCAACAACAACAGCGCGGCACAAAAAAACAAGAATTTCAAAAAGGTTCAGGCGTGTTGAGACATCCAGGTGTGCACTCAAGGGACGCTACATGGAGGGAGGACGCCGTCAAGCATTCACACAACGGAAATCTGGGATTAAACTCTAAGTGCGTCTCTGCCTGCAAGCAGAACTCTGCATTGATTTAAAGTGAGAGATAAACAGTAGTTGGGATTTTGAGAAATTGTGAATCCTAGTAAGTGTGTTTGGGTTGATGAGTTCTCAGAGATACTGCTCACGTCGGGACCATATAGTTTCATATGTGGTGTCGAACCAGCTCGTGAACCAGCTCTGACATGAAATTTGATCTCCCAGCAGCCAGCGGTCAGTTCGCGGGGCGTTTGTTTGCCCTGCTGCCCCTATTTAATTATTTAGCATACATCTGCTGCTCCTTTCACGTGGCTGAGGCCCCATGTTGTTTCTTCCAACTGAGCCTTGTAAGCTTTGTGCATAAATCCAGTGTTATATGTTGCACACGCAATCGTCACCACCACCATCGCCCTGGCGTCAGAATGGAAATGAACACATTGAGATGTGACAACAAGTACGTTTGGAGTTGACCTTGTCAGAGGTTCCATCTGACAGATGGAGGAGGCGCGCGCACGAGTCAAATGATTCAGTGTCAAAGCAGAAGTCTCTAATTGGTTGTGACACAAGCTTTGAGAAGAGAACGGTACTTGGGTTTGAACCTCGGCAGCAGGAACGTTTCCTACATGGTTCTGAATCATTAAACTCAGTGATCGACTGTGTTTCATAAACGTCTGTATCATAAGATTCTGAGAATATGAGAATTTCGGAAACAAGAGAGAACGAAGCTTACTCTGATGTTATTGATGTCTAATCAGTGGTATTGTCAGCCCCGGCACTCAGAGCGAATTTGAAACATAAAAGCCGATGAAATGAAAGTGAAATTGATTCCATGGAGCAGAGGCGTGTCGTGTCGTTGTATTCCCGATATTCAGAGTCACGGTTTGTTGTTGGAGCAGCCATCAACACATACAAATACATCAAGCATCTTTAAAAACACACCTCGTTGTGGAAAAGGTTAAACGAATAATGGACTGTAATCATATAGCGCTCCTCTCGTCCTAACAGCCACTCAGAGCACTTTATGCTATACACGTTCACCCAGCACTTCAAAATAAAAGTTGCCCTCCTGTGTTACTGCATCGCCCAGTTCACAGGAAGTCTGTGTGGTTCGGTCTTGCTCAGTGACACGGAACAAGGAGTGCGTGCTCTTCCTCCGAAGCCGCAGACGTCTCAAATAAGTTTCATAATCAATAACCTTCATTTTTGAAGTATTTGCTTTTCATATAACAAAAAAAAAAAAAGTTTAATTACTAAGCTCCTTTGCTGCTACTTTGTTAGTAAAGGTTGGAGCCCGAGTTTTTGAAGAGGTTTTCTGAAGACCTCAAGTTGAAAATAAGTTCAGCTCAGAGTAGAAAGATGTCCAATGTCAGACACATTCATCCCCATTGTCCAATCCGATGGATAATAAACAGAGATCTGTATGACCATGAGTCACAACAGGAAACAGCGGCCTGGAGGAACTTTAGTTTTCATTGATTGGAACTGTGATGTGTACAGGTCATGGCTTGTTGAAAGCTAATGTCAGCTCACTTAAAATAACAACCCAACCGATATATCAGTCGTAGAAATGGACCAATGTGATTTTAATCCTAACTTAAGTCAGAACAAAAACCCGGCGTTGATACTTTTCTAAAAGCAAAAGCAAGACCAACCTTTTTAATCTAGCTTTCAATTTATTTATATTTTACTGTATTTTACTATTTTTTAAATCCACTTACTTTATTATAGTCAGATTGTTTTCCTTTATCTGTTGGTTTCACTTCAATCTATCCAGTGATGGGATTGTATTAATGTATTCTCTTGCACATATCTACATATTAATGTATGTTTAGGTTCCCTCATTGGTATCTTCAGCAGTTGTGCTGGACGTGCTTGTGTTTCCTGGGGATGTTTTGTGATTTAGCTCCGTTGGGATTCATTTTCAGAGCATCCACTTGTTTATTATCATTTCCAGGAACTCTCTTATTATTATGATCGTCTACAAGCTGCTGTCGGATCTTTTGTGTCATTCTTTGATACAGTAACACCGGCTGAGTTTCAGCTAAATGGCCGTTCAGATGAGCAGATGCACAGATGAGCAGATGCACAGCAGAGCGAAGGCACACTGATGTTGTTTGACTTGTTTTTCTGTCACTGTCTCTGATCTCCACAACCCCCAGATATTAAATGACATTTCAGTCAGTTCAAAGAATCCGTCCCAATTTAGTTTAGAGCTGTTTTCTAGAGAGAAGCGTGTTGGTGATGTGAAGCAGGAGAGAAACTGAAAGGAGCATTTTTCTTATTCTTGTGAACACGAGATCTCAAGAAAGCCTCGAGGGACTTCTTCTTCCGAAATGGTTCACTTGATTCATTTTTTGGGGTCGAAGTCATGGTGAAGTATTACACGATATTTCATCCGGCACAAACATTCCCTTGGACTCAAGGATGACCTGTGACCTCTCATAAACATTTTCGAGAGAATCCTTTTCAAATGTGGCACATACGACCTCGTATGAGTCTGGAAAAAAAAGACGTACATAGACTTAATCTGGTCAGCGGACGCATACAACCGCAGGAGGGTGTTTCTAGTTTGAAAAAGAGATGGCTCCCGTTCTCTGGTCCGAACAAATCGCTGATGTTCAAATCAATTTTTCAAACAAGCGAACAAATTCGCTGCTGGACAGGAAACCTTTGTTCTTTGCCTTTGAAGAGGCACCTGAATCTATGTTGTCATAAACTGTCCAACATGATCAGAGCATCTTCAACCTATCAATTCTTTTCATGACTGGCCTCAATCAATAGTGATTCTGAAAACACCTGGCTTGTTGAAGTGGGAGCTAAACGTGCAATTGTCTCTGCAAATTAAAATGTTTGCCCGGAGCCATTTTGTGCCTTTTACACAGCTAATTCTGATGTTTCATCAATTGCAATTTGTTTCCAGTGGAGCCAGAAAAGTTTGGTGAAACAATCTCATCAGCTTCCGTTCGTCACATCTCGCATATCCAAACTGGGATTTAATTAAAGGCAGCTTAACCCAAGAATATCCAATAAGCAGTCATGACAGAAAACTGTCTCTATTGAAAACTCATGTTCATCCTCCAAGTCACTTAATAAACTCTTCTTGTATTTGTTGTACTCACTGCGTTAATCTCAGGGTTTATACTCTCCTCCAGCAGAATCAGGAGACTACATCCATTCACTGAGCATTATTGTGGCTTTTATTTTCTCAAATCAATCAATCAATCAATCAATCTCACTTATTATCTACACCAACAATACAAATTCCGACACAGTGTGCTTGTAAAAGGAACAATTTTCAAAATTCAAGACAAGGAAAGGCTTAAATATGCATCTTAGAGAATCAGGAATTGTGCATTGATGTTGTTGACACACTGGCAGGATGATTGAGGTGTCCTCTCTCCCGTCCCCTCCGTCTCTTCTCCAGTGCTGGGGGTCGTTCCTGAGCTGTGTCAGTGCCGGGAGCTGGAGCTGGACTGTGACAGCGCGCAGCTTCGAGACGTCCCTGCGGTGGCGATTAATGTCACCATGATGTGAGTAGAAAATAAACCCCTTACTCTGTCAGTATCTTAAAACCCGAGCAATCACCAGGAAACGTCACACCCCCCCTCCCCCGACTGTGAGTGTGACCTGCAGCCAGAACTGAAGATGAATCTCTGGTGGGAGGAAAATCCAAACCCTCCTTATGGAGCTGATGAGCGGTGTTTGCCCTTGAATGTCTAAGAGACAGCATCACATGTGTATTTCTCATACCTGAGTAGTATTCTGTCAAAATACTTTCTTGTCGTCTTTACATATGTTTGACAAGAACATACAGCCGTGTGGGTATTACAGAGTTTTCCCTGTTTAATCAGTGTAAATTACCCAATTTCATTCTTTATGCATCATTTCTCCGGCTTTTTTTTTTTTTTAAGACCAGGGAATTGATGCAGTTTTACAGGACCGCTCCTCATTACCTTTCACACAGCGTCCGCTCTGTCATTGCCGTGATGTACTTCATGGTGTATTTGGGCTGTATGATATATTAGCAGTCAGAAATTTTCAAAGAGCTTTTCTCGTTGTGAGTTTAAAGTGCAGCCGACCAAAGCAGAACACTAATGCACATGAATTTCACGTAAGAATAGCAGCGCGCCGAGCAGAGTGCAGACCTCCGACAAGGACTTATACTGCGGCTTTGTTGTCGGCCACTTTACCAGGTAAATTGGCTGCAGGTATATGTGTAAAAGGTTGTAATGTTTGCTCTGACGGTGGTGCAACGGCAATGCTGCTAGAACCACAAAGATTATTTTCATTTTTGAAGCGATGCCTGCTCACCACCTCTTCTTTTTTTAGTTCAGTCGTCCGTGCTTTTGGGTTTAAACAAAGTTAAAATGTCTGTCACACGCACCGGCTAGTCTGGTTCGCTCTCTAACGAAGCCAGATAAAACACAGGCAGACCTTCGCAACACATCCTGGAAACGTTCTTTATCTTTATTTATTTAAGGAGGGCCTTAAAGTGACAGGAGCTAAAAACCATGTGTTTCAGACGGAGGCTGAACAGAGGAGCTGCAGCAAAGCACAGTCTGAGGAAATGAATGTGTTTTCTGAACATTAAATAATTAGAAAATCATTCTCCATCAGATTAGGTTATACATAGCAACAGTTTATTTCTATTAACCAATAGTTTGTCATCATATGATTGCATTAGTATAAAAAAAGGTTTTTATACAGTGTGTATGTGCCTCTTCAATTCTTTTCATGTTTCAGTCACAGACACACAAACCATAACACAAACACAACATAATGCCAAGTAAAACAACAACAAACATGTTGTGGGTGTTTGGTCACGATGCACCTTAGTGTTTACAACCGACTGGGCTGAAGTCCCAGTTCCCCATCAGAGCTTCTCAGCCACGTAAACAAACTACGGTCCGTGGTCAAGAGCGACCGCTTCCTCAAATGAAACGGACAAAACAACTCCCTGACGTCGCTCAGTTCCTTTCAGTGCAGTCGTTGTGTGTTGGAAGCAAAGTGAGTAGAAAAGAAGAATAACAGGTGAAATAAGAGATATTTACCTCGGAAATGTTTTTCAAGGTTTTAGTATTTTCCACCTACGCAGAACGGACTTCATCAACAACCACTTACATGAATGTTTCATCTGGTATGAACTGGATCTTTATCGGCAGCTCAGGAACCTGATAGTTCAGAATCTGTTTGGAAACTTCTCTGACTTTAACAGCTGCCTCACGCGCTTCGTCTGCGCTCACGTTTACAAATCAGTGGTTGATACCAACAAGTCCGACATCCGGTCGACTGCCTCTCAGATTTAAAAGCCTTTTAAGCATTTCATTTCATATTTAGCAATTCCCTCTTTGTTCCGTCATGATGCTCTGATGACACACATTTTTTTTTTCTTTTTTCTAAAAGCAGCATTTGAAGTTTGCAGTATGAAAACTTTCTTTTAACTCATGTATGGATGTTTTTGTGAATGAAACCAGAGGAACGTGTTTCATATGGCAATTCCAGGGAGGTTGATGATGCTAACAGGTGCTACAGCTTCTACTTCCGTGCTCGTTTATTATTCTTCTGTCTATAGAATGTGCAGAATTAATGAAAACTGTCTTGTCCAAATCTCAAAGATATTCAGTTTACAATCATGTTAGACAAGGAAATACCCAACATCCTCATACATTTCAAATTATTGACCTTTTCCTAAAATCTGATCAATTTAAAAAATAATGTTAATTGATTGTCAACTTGAAATTAAATCCACTTATTGTGCTACTGATCAAATTTCACAAAAACACATCTACTCCCGAACAGGTGACATTCTTCAAGCTAAAATGAGCAATTTACCACAAGTTAGTTTATTAGTTTTCTGCACAGAGTGAACATCTGTAAACTTTTTATATATCTGTCATCAACACTAATATTTTCTCATTTAAAAGTAAAACTAAAGTCTGCAGTCGAAATATCTGAAACATTGATTGTTCACCTTCATTTTTCAGGTTGGACCAAATAATTTTTAGATGTGACGGAACAGTATCAAACACAGAATTCAAGTGTGGCTTCTAAAGCGAAAACTATCGAAACATTAAAATTTTTATTTGATTACTGTGAAACATTCACCTGTAAATTTCATGTCCAGCTCAAGAAGTTGGGGCTTCAAATAAATAATAACAATATGGATTCAATTTATCTCAGAGGCAAACTTCAAAATTCAGTAAAACACTATTTGGAGGAGGTTTTTTTTCAAGGTCTCGTGAATTTAACAGCAAACATGTAAATAATACAAACACTCTCTGTGTGGCCTTGGGTAACGTACAACCACACAGCCCTTCAAATTCTATTTATTATGCTGATATATTACATTACAATCTTTTGAAGGTCCCATGTGCAGTAAAGTTGACATAAATTAACATTAACTGGAGTAAGGGTCACATACAACCACACAACTCTGCAGTGAAACTTCTTCTCTCCTTCAAAATCATTGATCGAGTCGTTCCGATTCAATTTTCACTTTGGTGATATATTCCATTGCAGCTATGTCGTCCTGGTCCTCACTTTATTTTTATATCCTGGACGTTTGTAAAAAGAACATAAGTGTATCCACCGTGTACTTTGATTTCTTATTTCAGTCCCATCCACTAACATAGAGGAGACAAAAAAACCATTTCATAATCCCATTCACAACAATTGTTTTAAAATAACGCACATCAAAACACAGAGAGCTTAGTGATGAGTCTTAATCCGAGGGCCCCCATTGGCTCCAGGGTCCTGGATACATGTGTAGATCCATCGTTTACCTCCTCAAAGAAACAAGAGACATTCAGGGAAAGAAAAACGTCACGAGCTCCGTTTGAGTTCTGGTCAGAAAGCTTGTTTGTTTACTGGAGCGCTCCACAGTGTACGTTCACACCGGGAGCACGAGGTCATAGGATGTTTTGTGAGAGAACGACGAGCCCACAGAGACGATGTCGACGGTAAGAAAATCTCCCAACACTGACCGCTTCGTGCCGCTGGACGATGGCGGCGTGCGAGTCGATGAGCCGTTAATCACCCGTTAATCCGTTAAAAGCTTTGGAATCAACAGGTGAATCAAAACGTTCGCTCTGAGGCGTTAAAAGAAAACGAACAGAGACCGGTTTGAAACGTTAAATAAGACTAAGTGGGAGAATGTGATGGTTACTTATTGCTTTTGTTCGCTGGGTTGTGAAATACTGTCAGCCTGTGTTTTTATACCAATATATTGTTCGGCGTTTTTAAAAAAAAAATAATTTGAAGGTTGAGAGTATTCATTATAAAGTTTAATAGACCTTGTGAATCCCATTTATTAGAAACTACAAAAGCCACTTGTGTAACCTTGACGGTGAATTCTGAGTTTGACTCTTTTTCTTCTTTTCAGGTCTCTTCAGAGGAACCGGCTTCACAAGCTGAAGGAAAACACTTTCTTCAAGTACCAGAGCCTCCAGAAACTGTGAGTGTCCCATGAGTGATCCATTGGAACTTATTCAAACATATATATATATATTTCAAATCTTATTTTACACTATGATCAAATAAAATAATAATTTCCTTACTGTTCTGATCTTTTATTCATTTCAAGAGGCCTATATGATAAGACACGAGGATTTCCACCATGTGTTGGGGTCTACATTATTCATTCGGTGAAGAATAATGTCCTGATACCACGGAGCCGCCTTTTGAGAGGAAAAAATACAACAAATGAATTTCAGCTCTGCAAAGCTGATATGTATGAGGCTAAGGGTTCTGCTGGGAGCGCTAACAGAACACATTTTTTCCGTTACGGATTCATTCATTTCCGACTCCTGCTGTTTATCAGCCTCACACAGCGCTGCACCGCCGCCGCTGACGGGGGAGAACAGGTCTGATCCTCCGCCAGGAGCCGCTTGTCTGCGTCGCGCTCTCCGCTCTCACTCGCTCCTCTGACAGTCCGAAACGTTTTTATTCTATTTGAACATTTCTCCCTGAGACGTGCACAAGCTAACAGGTCTGCAGAATACACAGAGACACAGAACGCTAACGCCACCAGTGGAGGTTTGTCGAGGGTTAGTCAACAGACCACTGGACGTTCATTTCCATCCCGTTGATTGTGTTTGTTTTTACGTTAACAGGTGAAGGAGGATATTGGATTTGTGTCATTGTCTCCGGATAATTCATTGTACCTGATTGTTTCGTGTGTGTGTTTTCTGTGTAGATACCTTCAGCACAATAGAATTCAAGATGTGAGTCCTGATGCATTCAGAGGACTCTACAACCTGACCAGACTGTGAGTTGGTTTGATTTCGTGTCTTGTGCCAGAAAGCAAACAGTTGTATTTGTTGTGTGAATGGCTGTGCACACAGAATAATCATATTATAACTATAATGAGCCAACATCCCATTTAAATTTAATCAAGCTGCAGCATTTAGCACAAACACACACACACACACACACACACACACACAGATATTAGTCCTGTAAAAATGCCTGATTTTTTTGGGGCGTATTTCGAGGATGGAAAAACAGAAATCCTGTTTTCACTATAACAAATAAAAAGTTCAATTAAGGGAAACATAATAACTGATTGCCATGGGCACAACCATCCAACATTAATAGACCTGAACTCATAAATGGTTCAGTCCGACCTCCACGTCTGTAAACACCTTTGGGTAAAAATAACCGTGAGCCAGGTTTCATCTCCCACCATCAGCGTCCGATCTCGATAACGCTCCCGCTGCTGAATGGAAGCAAATCCCTGCAGCCAGGCAGAGAAATGTAGAGGGAACCCTGCAGGCTGTTAAGACTTCATATTAATGCCTGGGGCTCAGGAGGGCGATGTTAAGCAGAGACATACAGATGCTACCTGTCGGTGATGGAACTCGATAAGACTCCCGTCCATTAAAGCGAATAAAGCACCGTTAAGAGACGAGCAGGAGTGTCGCCGAACCGCCACGGAGCTCGGTTAAAGCTCCACGGATGTTGAGCTGCGTGTTAAATGTTTGGAAATACGTTTTCCCAGTTATGTCATCCTGTTCAGATAACCTCCCCCGACGTGTCTGTCCTCTCCCAGATATCTGAGCTACAACAGGATATCGGCCCTGATGCCCGGCGTGTTCCAGGACCTGCACAAGCTGGAGTGGTTGTACGTACATTTTCCTCTGCCAGACAGTTCTGCAGAAAAATGACTGAGTTTGAATTTGTTGTGAACATCTTTTCACTGGTGTCATTATAAAGAATTCTGAGGTGTAATAGAGGGGCTACTGATCCAAATCCAAATCCATAGCGTCTCCATGGCCACCGGGAGGTTGGCTGCATTATAGCCTTATGCCTTCTCCATGTTAGTGGATGGATATGAAACAAACTAAAGATGTATTTTAGGTACTTCTTATCACACTGACGTTAACGTGGTGATGCTCTCGGTTTTAATCAGCGATGTTTTCTTCTTCATGACTTTGTCTTTATTCCATACTGGTCTCTATTGATGAATTAACTCGCTGCACATTAATCTGAAACTTCATCTTGTTGCTGTTGTTTTTGTTTTTTTCGTAGAATCCTAGAAAATAACAACATCCATCAGATATCCCCCATGACCTTTTCAGGACTGAACTCCCTTGTTTTACTGTGAGTTTTTATTCCGTTCATCGTTATTTTGCTTTGCTCTGATTTTTCAAATTGTCAAACGTCCCGCTAAAAGCCTTGTGTTGATGTGTCCCTGTGACGTTGTGTCTCGCTGATGGACAGGGTTCTTTTGAACAACTCTTTGACCAAGCTGGATGACATCTGCCGGGAAATGCCAAGATTGAACTGGCTGTAAGTAGGATGAGAAAAATCAAAAGCTGTCTCGTCGTTGAAAATGTCTTCTGATGAATATGTTCTGTCCGTCTGCATGTGTGTGTGTACATTTCTGTACGTTTCATGTGTGTCTGTGTTTTTCATAACATGCTCTTGCAGAGATCTGGAGGGCAATCTCATAGAGACGATTGGAAACGTCTCCTTCTGCTCATGCAATATGTTGACGGTCCTGTAAGTACAAACAAACATTATGTAATCTCTGGTTGAGGCAATCTTTCTGCTTAAAAAAGACCTTTTCCTGCATTTCCTGTGAAGATCTGCTTGAGTTTCTCTGGTCTGTGCACGGAGTCAGAGTCAGCGGCTCATTAAATGGGATTTAAAAGGTCAGGGAGTCATATGGTTCCTTTTTTTGTCCCATTTGTTTGTGCTTTTCTCCAGGGTTTTACAGCGGAACAGGATCGGCCACATACACGAACAAGCTCTCTTGGTCCTCCAGAAGCTCGGAGAATTGTAAGTCCATTTTGTTTGAAGGTTTGAAACTGTCGGGTTAAAAAAATGTGATATGTTAATCGTGGTCACTTCAAAACGAGAACAAAAAAGGGGAAAAAGCATGAAAATTATGAGAAAGTAAGAAAGAACCTTAAGATGGAGCAAGTTCTTATCCGAGTTCTGATTTGCATTCACACATGCTCCTCCAGGGAAAAGGAGCTGCGGAGGCCAGTGTTTGTCTGAAAGCAGCTTAAGAAACATCATCAACACTCTGAATTCTCCAGACACTTCACTGGGGGTTGGCACGACAAGGTCCTCGAAATGTCTGAAGCATCTGACTTTGACATTTGCATTCTTCCGTGCGCCCCTCTGGAAATGTCTGGAGTTGAGTTCATGTCGAACAGCTGAATAAACGTGGCCCTCTGGTTGACTGGAGACCTGTTGGGTTTAGGATAAGATCAGCAGTATAGATAAAGGATGGATGACAAAATAACCAAAACAATAAAATAACACAAACTCACATTGCTATTAAACGCACACTCTTATATTCATATACATCACGATATGACAATATCCTTTTCTGTACAACTGGTGAATTGCATTTGGGCTCAGCTTGCATCTCACGACTGAAGCTTAGATTCAGCTGTGATCATTATCGTCATGCCTTCCTTCCTTTGCACATAAAACCAACAGCTGTGGGGGCATCAAACCGGTGACTTACATTACAAACATGTACATGGAGCCTTCTGTGTTTTCACTGTGCCTGTTATGCAACCCGCCCCCTGTACATTGCACAGCTCCTCTTACAAGATCTGGGAGCCTTTGTTGGATGCTGGAGTGTTTGTGCATGAATATATTTGTTTGTCGCTTTGTGTCTTTTGGGGAACCAACGTGGATTTGTCTTGGTGCGCAGGGATCTATCCAACAACAGACTGGTGGCGATTCCTCCCAATCTCTTTGTCTTACTGGGGGATTTGCTTCAACTGTGAGTTGTACTTACACGAGTAGACAGGGATCTGCAGCTCTGTATTCATGCACACCTATAACATGAATATCAAAAGGGTTGTGTTTCATGCTCTCACTCAGCTGGCTATTTTTAAAGCAGAGATATTTCGGCATCATGCAGAAATACTGTATACAGAACACACACCCTTTGATTTTGTCGTAGCTTTGATTAAACTGACTTTTAATGAGTTATGTTTTTGTAAATACCCTTTAAAGTTGCATTATTGAGGCTGCAGTCACACAACAGCTGCGCAGAGTTAAGATAAACCCTCAATTATCCTTTATTTAGATTTGATCGTGGTGAGCTCTAACTTTGCTGATATATATATTTAGATCTATATACAGCTCTAGAAGAAAAAATAAGACTTACCACTTCAGAGATTGTCAAAATCTATAAATGTAAGAATCAGAGAAACGTCAGTGGCCTCTTAATGTTTTCCCAGAGCTGCATATTGCATTACCTTGGGATCCTTTTAAAATGAATGCGCCACCATGTGTTTCCCCACTTGGATTCTTTCAAAGTAAAACATCAACAGCGGGGGTTTTATTTATCAGCAGTGAGCTCACATATATTGAACATGTGGTGGATTACATGAATGCATCATGCGCTTGTGAATCAATTATCTGTGCCAGGGATCTGAAGACTGAGCCACTACCAAAGAAAACTAATATATAGAGAGATATAATGAGTGATTATAAATACTGTATATTGAATGACGAGTGTAGAAGCGGGGGGCAAACGTGAACTGTTTGAAAAATGAGCTTTGATTTGACAGAAATCTTAAGCTTTGTAACTTTGAGTAGCAGGCAGACAATGCTTGTTCTCGAGCAGTAAACAGTGTGGTGGTGGGTGGAAGACAAACAAGAAATAAACAAGAATAATTCAAGAGCACATCGTAAATATGTAGCAGAAGGCTGTGTGTGCTGGGGTAAAGTTGAAGGCGTTGAAATAAACACAACACCTGCATAATAACATGCATTTTCACATTTTGACGTATATAAATGTTACTGTACTTTTTTTCGAATGACTTTCACTGCTGGTTTCCTTTATTTTTTTTCTTAGGAATATATCGTACAATCCCATCCTCGAGCTCCAAGTCGACCACTTTGACAACTTGCACAAACTGAAGTCATTGTAAGTATCCCTCGCCGCTTTGTGCCGAATGACTCCTCCGACTAATTAGAAAAACGCCCCCGTCGCACACTGAGAAACTAGATCCGCTTTGTGTGAAGAGCGTTCAGGTCACGTTGGCTTGCAGAGGAGCAGCTGACACAGTGAGTGTGATGAATCTGTAATGTGACTATGTGTTTTTGCATCATCTGAGTCTTTATGTTTCTCCAGGAGCATAGAGGGGATAGAAATTGGAAACATACAACGGCGGATGTTTGAACCTCTCAAATACCTGACTCATATGTAAGTGTTCTATTGTGCTTTACAGTGCTTCAACTTTAACGCTCATGATTTGCTCTAGACTGACACACACAC